TGGCGTATTTGACTGCAGTTCATGAAACCGGCTAGGGTTGGCCCACAGCAATGACCCCAGAGAAGGCGTGACCAGCACAGTCGCTCTCCTTTTGCAGAGAAGGAAGCTGAGGGGGCGTTGTGGGGTCCCAGCCTCGGGTCCCTCCATTCGACGGGGCACTGGCTCGCAGCTGGCACCCTGCTTGGCTCCCCGATGACTTATGGGCTCGTGTAAGAGCCAGGGGTGTGGAAGGCTTCGACGGCCAAGCTGGAGAGCCTGTTAGAAACGCCAGTTACATCAGCGCGTGTTACTCCCATGACGCTTGAAGTACATCTGTGGATGACAGACAAGACTTTCTTTTTGAAACCTCATTTTATTAGCTTAAAAGAAACCATAAATTTTATGTATTAAAACAAACTTAGTAACTTACATCTCCTTAGAAAAACAGGATCTGGTGGATCCTTTTTCTGTTCACTGTCCTTACCCACAAGGTGACACTGTCCCCGGCCTCCCATATGCGGCGGATGCTGAATGTTGGCATGTGGAGTTCAGACCACAAGCAGGCGCTCGCGTTTCGGGGTTCAGCTTTAGAGCTCTACGCGTCGTCATGGATGACTTCCGTAAAGAAATCGCTTACTGGGGCGCCTGAGCGGCTCCGACCGGTTATGGGTCCGACTCTTGGTTTTGGCTCAGGTCTTGACCTCAGGATCGTGAGATCGAGCCTCACGTCGGGATCCGCGCTCAGTAGGGGAGTCTGCTCGAGAGTCTCTCCCTCTCCCTCTGCCCCTCCCCACAACGCCTACGCTCTCTCCGAAACAGAAAGGAAAAGGAATCTGTTCAAGGGAGCTTGCATTTATCGGACCTTCATTCTGCGTGAGGCACTGAGCAAAGTGCTGATGGACGCTCTCGTGCCTTCTCTGGCAACCTAGAAGATGACATGCATCATTGTCCCCATTTTACTTCCGAGAAACCGAGGCCCCAGAGGTTCCGGTGACACCCAGGTTCCAAGGCGGGAAGTGGCTGGGCCAAGACGCAGACCCCTCCACACCCACTTCCCGGACCCCGGAGGGACAGCCGGTCTGGGCTCGCATCTCATCTCAGGGCTGACGGTCCAGCCAGGGCGTGATTTGGGACCGGGGCTCCCAAGCTGTGGGACAATCAACAATTCATGTGGGCAGGTGTTTACTGAGTCTGTGCTCTGGGGAGTGGGGGAGACATATCACCGTCAGTGGGACAGATCCCCGTGCTGAACAGTGTCAGGTCTGGCAGGGCTAGTGGACAGAGATAGGCTGTCACGCGAGCGATCTCCTGGTGAGGAGACACCCCTTGACCTGCCAGAGCTGGAGACTTGCCGGGGCTTCCTAGAGCGAGTCTGGCCTAAGCAACTAGGGCAGCCACTACATGTGGAACAGAGATGGGGCTTGTGACATTCCAGGTGGTCTCTGCCCACTATGTGGGGGCTGCCGAGCTGCAGGAGGACCTCCTGAGCTGCCACGCTGTCCTCCTGGGGGCCCTGGGCCCCACTCGGGGCTTGCCTGTGCGGTGCTGGGGTCACGAGGGCTGAGCTGGCTCCACGGCCTGTCCCGCAGGTGAGCCGGCACCCCCACCCCCCGGAGCCTTGGAGCCTCGTGTAGCAGGAGAGGCGCGCCCTCGGGAAGCAGCCTGTCCCGCAGTCAGATTTGGAGCGCGTCCTCTCACTGTGCAAACCTGTTCTTCCTATAACATAAGGACCCCAGGGAGCGCCGAGAGCCCGTGGCGCCTCCCAGGTCGTGCCTTTAAGAATTTGGAGCCCCGTGTCCCCGTGCCCAGCAGCTTCCTGCTGTGACCCAGCTCTGAACCCCTCACCCCATCTGGCCTTGCTGTTCACAATGGATGTGACAGCCAGGTGCCCAGAGCGGAGGCCTGATGGCTCTGGGTCGGGATCCTGGGCCAGGGGTCTGGGGTCAGGGGTCTGGCCTCTATTCTTGACCTAGAGGCAGGGGTTCATTTGACTTAGTCATCCAGCTCCCTCTCCCTCTGCATTGTTCCGTGTTTACATTTCATTTTATCTTCTTTTCCCCTCATTTTGACATACCCTGTATTGCCTTGTTAATTTTTTTAGACTGGTAAAGGTTTGGAAACCAAAAGATTCATCTGATTATTTTCTTCTTGATATAAATTTTCTTTTAGAGCAGATTTTTCCCCCCTTGGACTTTGCCTCTTCATGTGTTCCTTTCATAAATTTTCTGTGGGTGTAGAATTTTTACGTTTTGTTTGAGTATAACTTAAAAATCCCTTCCTGATGTGAATAAGCCCATACTTTAGGGCACTTTTCAAGAGCTCACGATAAGAGCTCTTTCTTCAAACGAAGACTTACATTTTAAAAGATGACCTCAATATGCAAAGAGTGATTTAAAAATCTTTCAATGTCTTTTTTTTTTTTTTAATTCACGCAAACCAGGATAAATCCTAGGACAGAATTCTTCGATGGGAAAATTACCATCTAATTTGGCAACAGGAAGAAAGTCCCACACTGACAGAGACTCGGACGGAGCCAGGTCTCCTTTCTGACTCCCCAGGGGTCTGCCCCCAAGCTCCTGGGGGTCGTGACCTCTTCCGTCTGGTCTGTGCCCATCGGAGCCCCACCTTCCTCTGCAGTGCGCGCTGGAGAGCAGCGTCACCAGGAGACGTAGTTCCTGCAGGGGGTCCGGTCGGGGAGGGTGCACGATGGGAAATCTGTTTTGCCTGCTTTGAGTTCGAGGAGACTGCGGACCTCCAGCAAGCGGTCTATCCGCACCAGTGGGTGCTGCTGTCCGAAAGCAGATGAGGTCACGAGGTGTGCAAGGTCGCGGGGGATACAGACCCCGTGTTCTCCCCGTGCGTCCTCCTCAGCTGCCATCATCAGCTCAGCCGCCTCCGTGCGGTCACCCCTGTCTCGCTCATATGTTTTCTCCCTCCACACCTGTGGGACTCCAGCCTGGGACCCCGAGGCGGTTCAGGCCCTGTCCCTGCCCCCCCAGGCAGCCATGTGGAGGGGCCGAGGTTAGGCTCTCGCACCCTAACCCAAGTCCCAGCCACAGTGCAGGGGGAGGCCAATTCACAGGGACACACAGAAGCTTCTTGGAGGAGGGACCAGCTGTGCTTGGATGGGGGAAGCCAGGGCAGGGGAGGGGAGGGCAGGAGAGCGAGTCATGCCAAGACTGGGGTTCCAGCGCTACATGGCACACCCCCGCTGTGTCCCTAGGTTTCCTCCCTGCTCTGTCGCTCAGCTGGCGAGCCACGGAGCTGGTGACCTGCCCTTCGGCTTCTGCTCCCTATGTGACAGCGTTGTTAGAAAACGGAGGAGGTGGGGCTCTCGAGTTCAGAGCGCCTGCAGAGCCCCCGGGAGCTGGTTTGCAAGAGAGGTTTCTACCCACGCCTCTCCTCACCGCTCAGGGCTGTGCCAGGGTCTGGGGTCGCACCTAGGTGAATCTGATGCCAGGGTCCCCGTCCATGCTATTGGTTACTGTGGTGATAAGATGGGGTTACAATGGTCCGGTCGCCTGGCAGAGATCGGGGGGGCGGTCAGCAGGGCTCTGCTTGGGCCCCACGTCCATTCCCTCAGGAGCCAGAGGCCGAAAGGCTCAGAGTACGTGTGTGCAAGTCTCAGCCCCGTCTGTGCCCGGCCTGGCGAAGACTCAGCTTCTCGCCCTTGTTTGTCCCCCAGCAATGTTTTCAGCCTGATTCCCGGATGGGGGCAGAGAAGAGCGTCTCAAAGGTAATGGCGGAGTCTTTGGAGTCAGGGTGATTCCTTCTAGAAAGATCTAGAACCGAAGTAGAAATACACGTATGTATCAAACTCGAGGTAATTCTAGCCAAAGAGGTCCTCGGTTCCCAGGGTGACTCTGAGCTCCTCCCTCCACCGTGTTTTCTCAAACCTTGACAAAGGACAAGGCAGAGCTCTGACCTCCGTAGGAGCGGACGCGGTCACAGAGCTAACTCGCCGCCCAGCGGGTGCACGGGGATCCGGGAGGGACGGCACGCGCGCTGGTTCTGGCTTCCCTTCAGCTGCTTCAGTGGGGCCAACCAGGGATGGGGTGCCCTCTGACCCCACAAGGGCCCAGGCGGGGGAGGCCCCGCTGTCCTCTCGGAGCTAAGGAGCTAATTTCTCCGGGCTGGCGGCCAGCGGGGGAGGGGAGCGCTCCCAGCCAGCAGCGCGAGTGATCCAAGTCCCGACCCCAGCTCTCCCCCCTCTGTCCGGCTGGTTGGATGGACCCGGGGCTCTTGGGGCCAAGCTGCCATGACTGCTCTCTGCAGGGCCGAGGGGTGGCAGCTCTCGGCCCCTCCTCTCCACTCGCCCAGATGGGCCTCCCTCGGCCTTCCAGACGGAGCTCGGCCTCCCCACGGCTCCTCCGGGAGCCCGCCTCCCCGCCGCCCTTCACGGGGCTGGCTGGGGTCCGCAGGGATGGGGGCGGGGTGTACTCCTCCCCTTTGCCCGGGGCACCCCCCTTGAGGAACGGTGTTCTCAGAGGGCACCTTTCCTCTCTGCAGCCAGGATGGCTACCCTGTGGTCCCACAGCCGAAGTCTGAGGCAAAGCCGTCCAGGTGAGGGGTGGGGAGCTGGGCTCCCACGGTTGGGAGGGCCCGGGGGGTGTTTCCAGGCTCCTGGGGATTCCAGGCCCACCCCGCCCCCGGGCACCCCGGCTTCTGCCCTCTGGTCTCCGCACCTCCTCCCTGCAGGGAGGGGCTCTCCCCAGGCTGCTGTCCCCCTCCGGAGGGAAGGCCCCTTGGGCGGAGCTGCGGCCCAGCTCCCAGACATGGCCAGCGTGTCCAGGGTCCCTCTGTCCTGTGGCGGACTCCTGCTCTCCTCGCCTGGCCACACGGCCTAAGCTTTGCCTCGCACGGGAGCTTTCCTCTGCAGGGGCCACGCGTGGGGACTCTGCAGGAGTCCTGCCTGTCTGGTGGGGACTCTGCAGGAGTCCTGCCTGTCTGGCTCGGCAGTGTTTCTCCCAGGACCTGGCCCTGGGCTCTGAGCACTGTTTTCTTCCCTCAGAGAAAGCGAAAGCGACTGCCACCGGGACACCTGCAGAGTCCCTGAGGTACCCAGGTAGGGGGGACACTTCTTTCAGCTGTTTCTGTGCCTCTTTCCAAGCAAGGGAACAGGTGCCTCTCTCCTCCCCTCCCTCACTCCTCTGCCCCTCCCAAGGCTGGTTCACAGGGAAGGAATGACAAGGGACCCTGGGAGAGGAGGAGAATTTGGGTCAAAGCAAAATAGGGGGAGACGTTCAATGGTGGGAGTCATGGGAGTCTCTTCTTGACCTCAGGCCTTGTGGCCGCCCAGCTCAGGTGTGGCACCTGTGGGGAACTCAGCTCAGGGGAAAACTGGACGGTGTGGTCATCGGGGTCTGGGGGACAAAGGAGGCTGTCGGTGGGTGGGTGTTGGGTAGGGCGGTGAGGTAGATGCCAGCACAGTGTAGGGATGGATGGGGTGGGGTGGGTCAGCCCTCATGCTCCCAGCCCGCAGGTAAGAGCAGGACCCGGGACTTCAGTCGCAATGAGGAAGACCCATGTGAGAACTTAGAGCGCCCAGGGAGAGGAGGAGGGGTGGGTTCTAGAACCTCAGCAGTCTTCACAGACCGTGAGGGGCGACCCCTTCCTTTGCTGGGGCTTTAGCCTCATCGGTGTATCCCTGGGAAACCTGCAGCATCGTTATGGCTGGGTGGGCAGCGCCATGGGGGTCTGGGAGTGAACAAGGGCAGATGGAGGAGGGAAGGAAGGGGGGAGGGAGGGAGAGAGGGAGGAGACAGGAAGGTAGGGAGGTGGGCAGGAAGGGAGGGGGGAGGAAGGGAGGGGGAAGGAAGGAAGGGGGAAGGAAGGGAGGGAAGCAGCAGGAAGGGGTAGGGAAGGAGGAAGGCAGCAGGAAGGGGTAGGGAGGGAGGGAGGCAGCAGGAAGGAGGGAGGGAAGGAGGGAGGCAGGCCCGCAGGGGGGGCGCTGTGGCTGGATGCCAGCTCTCGCAGAGCTGGCCAGCTGGACGGGGAGGACAGCACCTTGCAGCTGTGGGCACAGACTGACAGGCTCTGCGCAGTGTCTCGGTGTGCCCGTCCCTTGTCCCTGACGCACATCTTCTCTGCAGGCTGGCTTACCCCAATGCCCGCGTCCTCAATCCCACGTAAGTAAGCGAGTCCCTGCCGTGGCCCGGCCCTTGGTTCCCTGTCTCTGACGCCTCGGGCTCTCCATTCCCTGGCTCCTCTCCGGGGCCGCAGCCTCTCCTTGCCTTTCCTTTCCCTCCTCGCACAGTCTCACGGGGGCCGGGTTCATTGATCCTGGGTCCGGGGCCAGGGAAGGCACCTCTCATTCTTGGTCCCAGGAGCCATGCATGTCCTCTTATTTCTTCATGGAGATGGGGGACAGGGGCCTGGGCGGGCTGGGCCCTGAGGTCTTTCCGAGGCTGCCAGTATCACAGGCACCACAGTTCTGGGCCGGTCCCCACAGCCAGGCCTCCGGAGCCGGCGCCTACACGCCCTGCTTGTTCTGCCCAAGACAGTGCGGCAGCCCGTCGCGGGGGCCTCAGGAAGGTCACCCAGAGGCCTCCCTGGTCAGCCCTCGCCGTAGAAGCAGGGAAACTGAGGCTCAGAGAGGTGAAGGTATGTGCCCGAGGCCCCGCAGCTGGGGAGGGGCAGGTTGGGATCCAGCCCAGACATGGTTCCTTCCTGGCCGGGAGAGCTGGAGACGCACACTGCCCTTCTGGAAGAGGCACCCGCCTCTCCCGGACGCTCTGGAGCCACCAGCCCCATGAGGCCACGAGCATGTGACACGTGACCGCTCTGGAGAGAGATGGGCTGTGGGGGGAACACACTGGGTTTGAAGTGCTCGACACCCCCAGATTTAAAACCTCCTCCAGGATGTAAACTCTGCTGTCTGCTGGGAAAGGGGCTTAGTTCTCACCTCACTGAGATGCAGCTCCTCCCCAGAATTGGGGCGGCGGCCTCCCAGCAGGAGTGTCCCGTGGGACCCTGCCCCCGGCCGATGCACGGGACACACTCCAAGCAAGGGCAGTGAGGGGCGGGAGTGTCACGGCTCAGGGCTGCAGGTTGGGGTCCTGTCGCTTCTCGCTCTGCTGCTCCCACATGGTGAACCTCTGGCCAAACCCTTCCCTTCCACCGTGCTTGTCCACGCCCAGCTCTAACCGTGCGGCTCTCTTCCTCCAGGAGGGCGGACGTGCTGGTCATGACCCCCTGGTTTGCTCCCATCGTCTGGGACGGGGTCTTCGACTCTACCGTGCTGGACGCGCAGTTCAGAAACACCACCATCGGGCTGACCGTGTTTGCCATCAAAAAGTAAGGAAGGGTCTGGGCAGCTGTGCTGAAGAGGGGCGCGTGCCCCGGGGAGCCCGGAAGCCCTCCTGCAGGGCCAGGGGGCGCGTGTCACCAGGTGTCACTCTTTTCCAGGATGAGGTGCTCTTGGGGGGTGGGGAGGCAGGGGTGGCTTGGGGTGCAGGTGAACTCGGTGGGACTTGCAGGGGCCGCTAGGCACACCCCTGCTCGAATTAGTGGCCGCACACCCGAGAGTCACCTGCCCCAGAGCTCAGAGCGCGAGCCTTTGAGGGCCGGGCAGCCTCCACCGACCGCCCGCGGGGACCAGCTGCCGGGCCGGGAGCCAAGCCCCCCCAAGCCCCTCAGCAGCTGCTCTGTCGCCCCGACCCCGTCCCAGACACGCCGCCTGAGGCTTTGTCTCCTAGCTGGCCACGGCGGGTTTACCGGGGCGCCGAGCTGGATCCGAGCCCTCCAGGCTGCAGGCAGGGCTTCCGGGCGGCTGGTTTGCTCTGCAAACCGGCTTGTGTCTCACGAAACACATCTTCACCTTCACGCGCCGCCGCTCGGGCGCCTTTGCCCTAGGTCGCCGGCGGACCGTCCTCGTTCCTTTGGCGGGCAGCCCGCACTCCTGCCCGGGAGCCCTGCCCGGCTCGGGCTGCTTCGCAGAGGCCCACGCGGCGCTGTGACAAAACACCGCGGCACGAGACATCTAACCGTGCGGCCGAGTTGCAGAAGTGTCCCGGGAGCGCGTGCATGTCCGGCCACTGACACCCCCCGACGTTGTCTCGTCTCTCCCCCTCGGTCTCGCTAGCGTCATTGGCCTCTAACGGACACGTCACTTCGTGCACGTGTACAGTGAACGACACGTGATTTGACGGGCGTGGGCACAGCCCATTAGCTGCCATCGCCGCTGCGTGTCTCGTTCCTAGAACTTACCCGTCTTCCGTCTGGGAGGTTCTACGGCGCAGCCCCTCCACCACTTCCCAGCGCTGCCGTCCTGCCTCTGGTTAGCCGCTCGCCTGTTCTCTGTTGTCGTGCGTCAGGTTTTCTTAGGTTCCACGTGCGGGTGAGATCAGACCGTGTTTGTCCACCTCTGTCTGACCCGCGTCATAGAGCCTAGTGGTCTCAGGTTTCAAGCGTGTTGCTGCACAGGGGAGGCCCGTTTTCTTTTTCGTGGTGGAGTGACACATGTCATACACACACACCTTGCGCGTCCGGTCAGCTGCGGATGGACACTTCCGTCCTTTCCGTGTCTCGGCTCTTGTAAACAACGACGCAGCGCACGTGGGAGAGAAGTCGTCGCTTGGAGATACGGCTTTAATCTTCTGTCCCTATCGCTGTCTCTGTCTCTATGCCTCCAGAAGTGGGATTGCTGGTCCTCAGGTAGTTCTTTTTTTTTTTTTTTAAATGATTTTATTTGGGGCGCCTGGGTGGCTCAGTGGGTTAAGCCTCTGCCTTCAGCTCGGGTCATGATCTCAGGGTCCTGGGATCGAGCCCCGCATCGGGCTCTCTGCTCAGCGGGGAGTCTGCTTCTTCCTCTCTCTCTCTGCCTGCCGCTCTGCCTACTTGTGTCTCTCTCTGTCAAATAAATAAATAAAATCTTTAAAAAAAAGATTTTATTTATTTGAGAGAGACAAAGATTGTGAGCAAAGGAGAGTCAGAGCTAAAGAGAAACCCAAGCAGGATCCTGGCTCAGCGCAGGGCCCGACGGACACCCCGATGCAGGCTCAGTCTCACCACCCTGAGAGCAGGACCTGAGCCCAAACCAAGAGTCCAACTCGGAACCAACTGAGGCCCCAGACGCCCCAGGGCCCTTCTCTTTGTAACTTTGGAGGGGATTCCCTACTGCCTTCCACGGAGGCCACACGGGTTTGTCTTCCCTCCCAACAGAGCGCGTGGGCTCCCTTTTCCCCACATACTCACCAACACGTGTTATCTCCTGTCTTGCAGACACTCGCCTTTCAACAGGTGTGAGGTGACATCTTGTTGTGGTTTTGAACTGGATTTCTCTGGGGATGAGTGACGCTGAGCATTTTCATGGACCTCCTGGCCATTTGAATATTTTTTTTTGGTCTGATTTCAACTTCTTGAGTTTGCTAACATCTGTTTCGTGGCCCAACATATGATCTACCCAGAAAGTGTCCCATGTGCCCTTGAGAAGAATGTGTGTTCTGCTGCTGTTGGATGGAATGTTCTGTGTGTGTGCGTGAGGTCTGTTGGGTCTGCAGCATTGTTCAAAGATGCTGTTTCGTCGCCAAGTCTCTGTCTGGATGATCTATCCATGCTTGGGAGTGGGGTTACTAAAGTCCCCAATCAATACGGTATTGCTGCTTATTTCTCTTCTGGTTTTGTGAGTATTTGCCTTATGGGTTTGGGGGCGCCGATGTTGGGTGCTTAAGTGTTTACAGTTGTCATTTCTTCTTCAGGGATTGAGCGCTTTATCATCATATATTAACATTCTTTGTCTTGTTTGATCATTTTTAGTTCAAAGCCCACTTTGTTGTCAGTATAGCTATCCCCCGTTTTGGAGCCACTGTTTGCTTGAAACACTTTTTTCGTTTTTTTTGCTCTTGCTCTGTGTCTCTAAAGCTAGAGTGAGTCTCTTCCAGGCAGAATATCGTTGGATCTTTGGGGGGAAAAATGTATCCATTTACCACTCAGTGTCTTTTGATTGCAGAATCCTTTTACATTTAAAAACGTCTAGGGGCGCCTGGGTGGCTCAGTGGGTTAAAGCCTCTGCCTTCGGCTCAGGTCATGATCTCAGGGTCCTGGGATCGAGCCCCGCATCGGGCTCTCTGCTCTGCGGGGAGTCTGCTTCCCTCTCTCTCTGCCTGCCTCTCTGCCTACTTGTGATCTCTCTCTGTCAAATAAATAAATAAAATCTTTTAAAAAAAATAAATAAAAAAAAATAAAATAAAATAAAATAAAAACATCTAAAGTAATTATCAAGAGGGAAGGACTTACTTTCACTGGTTTGCTCACGGTTTTCTACCTGTGGAACTTGGCTGCTCGCTTCTCTTTAGCTTTGACGCCCTTATCATAATCTTTTGTGTGTCTGTGACCAGCTTTCCTGCTGTGGTTGTCGGGTTACATAAAATATCTTCTCCCAATAACCAGCTGACAACAACCTGACTTCAATAACCTCCATAAGCTCTGTTTTTCATCCTCTCTCCCTCGCATGTTTGGTGATTGATGCTACAATTTGTGCATTTTTAAATATGGTGTTCCCGTGAAAAAATTATTGTGGTTATGGTTCGTTTTTATGTTTGTTTTTTAACTTTCTAGCTAGAGTTGCAAGTGACACATGCACTGCCGTGACACTAGGGCGTCTTACTTTGACTGACGCTTACATTACCAGTGAGTTGTCTACATGCATCAGTATGCTCAGAGGAGGTCACTGGAACCCGTTTCTTTCTGCTGGAAGAGTGGGATGCCCTGGGACATTTCTTGTAAGGCGTGTCTGGGGCTGACGGACCCCCTCAGCTTTTTGGGGGGAAAGGCTTTATCTCTCTGTTTCTGAAAAGCAGCTTTGCTGGGGTAGGTTTCTTTCAATATTTTTACTTTTGTTTTTGTTTTTTGGAGAAGGAGAGAGCATGGGAGTGGGAAGGGGGTACAGAGGGAGAGAATCTTAAGCAGGCTCCTGACGAGGGGCTTGATCCCACAACCCTGAGATCACGACCTGAGTTGGAAATCAAGAGTCAGACACCAACCGCCTGAGCCACCCAGGTGCCCCAGTATTCTGAATACATCCTCTCACTCTCTCCTGGCCTGCAACGTTTTGTTGAGAAAGCTTCCCGTAGTCTTAAGAGAAGGGTTACCTTATATGTGGTGACTTATTTTTCTCTTGCTACTTTGAAATTTTTCTCCTTGTCTTTGACTTTTTAAAGTTTATTCATTTTTTTTTAGTAATGGCTATACCCGATGTGGGGCTCGAACTCATGACCCCAAGATCAAGAGCCTCACAGTCTTCCAACTGAGCCAGCCAGGCGCCCTCCTTATCTTTGACTTTTGGTGATTTAATTATAATGTATCTCTCTCTAATTCTTTTCAGGTTCAGATTATTTGGGTTCCTTTGAGCCTCATGAATCTGGATGTCCCTGGCTCATTTGGGAAGTTTTCAGCCATCATTGCTTTAAATGTATTTTCTGTCCCTTTCTCATTCTTTTCTCCTTTTGGGATTCCCATATTGCATACACTCTTTCTTTTCATGGTTTCCCATAAATCTGTAAGCTTTGCGATTAATATTTTATTATCCTGGCATGACCACTAATCTGCCCACCTGTCACCCTTCTGTCCATCTGTCAGTTCTTACTGCTTTTGACATACACGGAAGGTAAATCTGGGACATCAGCAGTGATCATCAACTAGAATTCAAGATGCGTTTATGGCTTTCCTTCTTTCCAGGTAAAATGTATATACAAAGGTTTGCTGAGTTTTGGAAAATGCATATAGTTGTGTAACCAGAATCCTTTCTACTCATACGACATTCCCACCACCCCTCTTAAAGTTCCCTCGTGCCCCTTCCCAGCCAATGCCTCCCCCTCCTACCTCCCCCGCATGAGTGTTTTGACTTTCTTTTCCACTCTTTAAGATGGAATTGTAAAGCACATACTGTCCAGTGTTGTCTTTCCTCACTCAGAATCACCCCTTGGGGATTTACCGCAGTTTGGCATGAATCAGCGGCTATTCCGTTGCACAGCATTCCATCCGTCACGTGGGCGTACTGTAGTTGGTTAACCCACTTTTCTTTTGCCCGACACCCCGTTTCCAGGTTTTGGACATTATGAATAACTATGGATAGTCGGACAGATCTTTTGTGGACGTACATTATATTTTTCCTCAATTGAACATCCAGGAGTGGAATTGCTCAGTCCTAGGTCAAAATCACATATAGTGTTGTAAAACATTCCCGATATTTTCGCATATTGGTTGCAGTGTTTTACATCCCTGTCCACCATCTAGGGAGGTTCTGACCACTACGCATGCGCCACAGAATTTTGTGATGTGAGTCCCCTGTAAACCTTTATACTTGGGTCTTTGTTCCGACATATGAGCGGATCTGTGGAGTGGAGTCCTGGAAGTGGGGGAGTTTGGGGGAGAATGGACACATTTAGAGCTTTGGTATATTGGTGGCTCTCAGTCAGTAGGGCGTCCACCTCTCGATTTTGGCTCGGGTCATGACCTAGCATTGTGCGATCAAGCCCCATGTTGGGCTCTGTGCTCAGCAGGGAGTCTTCTCCTCCCCACCCCCATGAACTCTTTCTCAATAAATAAATAAATAAATAAATCTTTAAAGTGTTGATATATTTTCTCATATGCCCTCTGAAAGGATTATAAAAATTGGTATTTTCATTAGTGGCATACGAGAGTGCCTGCCTTCCCTTGCCCTCAACCACACACCGAAGTAGTCACTTTCTCATCTGTTACAAAGGTCTTTCCTGAAAACTTACTGTGTGTGGACTATAGGGATAAGGCAGTTACCCAAACAGGTGAAGGCCCTGTTTTCACGGAGCTGTAGTCTAGTGGGAAAAGACAGAAGAACAAGTAAAACACAAATACAAAATATGTTCCATGGTCATTTGGGCTGAAATAGGTAAGGCTGGGTTAGGGGATGGAGAGGGATTTGTTTTCACATTTCTTTGTGGATTTATTTGCTCCTTTTTATGGAGTTCTGATTTCCACCTAGAAAAATGTACGGGTCAAGTGCACAGCCCGCTACGTTTTTCCGTCGGCTTACACCTGTGCTGCTGCCAGCAGGGAGAGCTATGGGGCACGGATGGTTCTGGGCACCAGTCAGAGGGTGGAAGGTGCTGCAGCGGTGAGCACTGCAGGACAGCCGGAGGGAGCAGGAAGTGCCAGGGCTCGGAGAAGCACGCCTGGCTTGTGTCAGGAGCATCCAAGAGACGCCTGCCCCGATAGCAAGAGGGAGGCGAGTGGGGAAGGAGCCGAGGTCAGAGGCAGATCTTGTATGGTCTGGTAGACCACAGTAGGATCTTGATTCACATTTTCTTTTTTAAGGAGAAGAAGCCATTGGTGGGTCCTGAGTCGGGAGGGACTGGTCATTAGATGTTACCCATCCTTTGAGTTTTTGCCAAGCTCATGGATTAAGAAAATACCTTATGGTTGAGGCTACGTGCTCAATAGGAAGGGACCTGAGTGCCTCCTCTTACTCTACAGCTGAAACACGATTCGCATGGTTGTGCTGCCGTGGGGCCGCCCACCTTCACAAGCATTTTCCTCTCGGAAGACTGAAGCTCTGTGCCCATCACACACTCGCTCCCCGTGTCCCCGCTCCCAGCCTCTGGCACCCGCCTTCTGCTGTCTGTTTCTATGAATCTGCCCATTCTAGATGCCCGTGCAAGTGCGATCAGGCAGCGCCTGGCTGGTGCCATGGGCTGATTTCACTGCGCAGGGTGTCCCCGAGGTGCGGCTGTGGCGTCATAAGCTGCTCACGCTCGTCTGTTCTTCCGCGGCTGTTTGATGTGTGTAACACCCACCGTCTCTTTCTGCGGTGCTGTTGTTGCCTTAGGTACGTGGTCTTCCTGGAGCTGTTCCTGCAGACGGCGGAGAGGCACTTCATGGTGGGACACAGGGTCACCTACTACGTCTTCACCGACCGGCCAGCCGATGTGCCCAGAGTGCCCCTCGCCAAAGGGAGGCAGCTGGTGGTCCTCAAGGTCCGAAACTACACGCGCTGGCAGGAGGTGTCCATGCACCGCATGGAGATGATCAGCAGCTTCTCGCAGCAGCGCTTCCTCCGCGAGGTGGACTACCTGGTGTGCGTGGACGTGGACATGAAGTTCAGCGACCACGTAGGCGTAGAGATCCTGTCCGCCCTCTTCGGCACTCTGCACCCCGGCTTCTTCAGGGCGGCCCGTGAGTCCTTTACCTACGAGCGCCGGCCGCAGTCCCAGGCCTACATTCCCAGAGACGAGGGTGACTTCTACTACGCAGGAGGCTTTTTTGGGGGATCAGTGGCTGAGGTTCTCCGGCTGACCTCGGCCTGTCACCAGGCAATGGTGGTCGATAAGGCCAATGGGATCGAGGCCGTGTGGCACGATGAGAGCCATCTGAACAGGTACCTTCTCTACCACAAGCCCACCAAGGTGCTGTCCCCGGAGTACCTGTGGGACGAACAGATGCTGCAGAGGCCGCCTTTCCTCAAGAGGCTGCGCTACGTGGCGGTGCCCAAGAATCACGCCGAAATCCGGCACTGAAGAGCCTGGGGCCCGGGGCGTCTCCCGACAAGGCTGCAGCCTTAGCAGGGCTTCCTCTGGGAAGGGATGGACCAGGGATGTGGTGCTGTCCTGAGTGCCTGGGCCTCGGAGTCTTTTTCCCCGGGAGGCTCCCCCCTCATCCTCAGTATAAACTGGGCTGTCCTTCAAGGTGCCTGCAAGGTCACCCTCCCCGGGAAGGCTTCTTTGATCGGCTCTTCCTCCCACCATTGAGATGCACAGCTCCTCCCTCTGCGTCTCTGTGAAGCCCAGAGCATCTCCTCCTGGCCGAGCCCTGCCCTTCTGCCCCCATTTCCCATTGGTCTTGGTCCTCACAATGTAGGCTCCTTAGGGCAGAGGCGAGGATCTCTTCTTTGTACACATCAGTACCCACACAGTGCCTGATGCCCAGAGACTCTCGAAACATGACCCCTCAAAGCCCGGTGGACCCTGTTCCCAGACAATGGGTGAGGTCCAGCCTGAAAGCTCTCTTCTGGGTTTGGTTTGTGTGTATCGGTAGCTGGTGGCTTTGGGTTGTTTGTCTGTTTCTTACGGATTTGTGGGAGTTTGTTATTGCTTAAGGTGTTAGTACTTTTCTCAGACACGAGCTAAGAATCTCTTCTTCTGGTTTTTATGTTGCTACTACAACTCTTTTAACGTAGGTGAATTTAAGAACTCATTTCCTGCTTCAAAATCATGAAGATAGTGTCTTATGTTAGAAGATAGTGTCCAAAAGTTTTATGTTTTTGCCTCACACTTAGGTCTTTAATCTACTGATACTGACTTGTGTGTGCTTTTAATGTCAGGATTTGATTTAATTTTCCTGTCTCTGGATAACCATTATCTGAGCACCACTGATTGAAAACCCATTTGGAAACTTATGGGAAAGTTCTTTTCCCTGACTTGCAATATCATCGGCCTCCTAGTATCACCCGTCCCCATGTGCCTGGGTCTGTCTATTGGTCTGTGCTTGTGGCCATAACCCCCCTCTTAGTTACTAGAGGCCCGTAATCCAGTCTCTATCCGGTCTGCACGCCCTCCCGCCTGCTTCCTCGAGAGTGCTTTGATTGCTCTCAGCTGTTGCATTTCCATGTCGTCACTTTTAAATCTTTTGTCAAATTGCAGAAAGGAGCCTGCTGGAGTTTTAATTTATTTAATTTATTTATGTTTTTGAGAGAGAAAGAGAGAGAGAGAGAGCATGCAAGTGAGAGGTGGAGGTGGGTCAGTGGGAGAGAATCTTAAACAGGCTCCATGCCCCGTGTGGAGACCGGCTGGGAGCTCCATCTCACGACCCTGAAATAATGACCTGAGCCGAAATAAAGAGTCAGACGCTTAACCGACTCCCTGGTTGGAGATTTCAAAAGTATTGTGCCCAGCTGAGCAGCACTACCGCTGGCTGCTGGAGGTGGCCTCAGGAGCGCAGTCCACGTGAAGGCTCACAAGCCAGGGCTGGGTCCTCCTGAGGCTGGAGGGAGACTGCCTCTTCCTCTCCCCCAGCGCCTGGCCTATGCTGGAGGCCAGGTGCTTCCCTGTGCTGGTGCACCTGCCCACATCCGCCCCATCTCTGCAGACCATCCTCCCTGTGTGCCCAACCCCCCTTCTGAGCAGCTGAGAGTTCACAGAACACAACACACAGGATCCTTCTGTTGCAGGAATTCTCCTTTAGTGCCCACAGCTCTTGGTCCCGCAGCTTCTGAGAATGATGAGGCAGGCCCGATGAAGAGTGGTGGACACCAAAGCAAAGTAGATTGAGCAAGAGTGTAAACCTCCCAGAGGCGGGGGCTCTGAGGGGGCTGCCCCTAGAGTTTTTAACTTTAGGGGGTTTTATGAGCTCTTTTGCAAAACTATCTTAAGCAGTCAGGGCTTGCTGAGTCCTGCCATTCGGGCTTTGGTCACGTATCTGTCCACCTGTTAGGTTATTGTCAATGTATTGACGTTCTTTTTTGCTGACATCTGGGGGCTTATGTCTTAACTGCCCCTGCCCATGATAGGGACAAATGCCTTGTGGTTAATTGCCTTAGTTTAGGATGTTTTGTCGAAGTCATTTCTGCAAAGGTATAAAGCAGAACGTTAGTTAGGTCCTGTCTAAGCTGCAAAAGAGGATGTTAGCGCTGCTTGATCTTAGCCATCCCGACCCCATATTTTCTTGTTGGGGACTCTGGCCTGACGACCTACCTGTCCAGCTCCCTCCTAACACGTCCTTCAAAAATCGCTTGAGGAAGAAACTAGCTCTTGAGATCGAGGAAGAACAATTGGAGCTTCCCCGTTTCTTTCATCTTTGGTTCAGTTTCTCTCTCCCTCTTGTCCACTGTTTTCGTGGCTCGGAGCACGCTGGCCTCGGTCCACACAGTTTGCACTCTTTGGTCTTCTGTGAAATGACGACTCAGGACTAGCCCCCCAGGCCGTGTCCAGCCAGAGTCACCTGCAGACAGTGCCCCGCGGGGCTCCATGGCTGGCCCGGGGCATCCCTGTTGCCTTTCTTCCTTGAAGTGGAATGTCACTGGGGACTCAGCGCAGGAAACTCTGCCTGTGGTTGCTGCCTGGTACCCTCTCTTGTTACGCTGAGAATGTTTCCCTCTAGTCTTGCTTAACAAAGACTGTAGTTTTTCCCCCTAAATCAGGAGTGGATTTTGAGTTGGATCAAGTCTTTTTGTAGTCTACTGTGAGAATCATATAATTTCTTTATTATTAATGTCCGTGACTTGTAAATGCAAAATCCTTATTTCTGGGCTTCATTTCCCTCACAGATCTGGAATTGGCCCTACTCGGTGGTGGTGCATCAATCTGTCATATTGGTTTCTTCTTCGTTCTGTCCGTAGTCACCTGGAGGACCCATCTATGGTGGTCGTTTAGGGTCTTCTCAGCAGACTTTGCTATTGTGGTCCAGATGGTCTGGGAGACTGAATTCAGAACGTTATTTTCTATGCTCTGGGATATCTGAGTCATCTCAAGGTTTGTTCTTGCTCAGAAAGCCCGTGGAGCCTACTGTCATCGATGGCGCTAACACCTGGAGGGCTCTTCTTGTTCCTTCTATGGCACGTGAGTTCCTTCTAGAGCCACATTCAGGTTTTCTACTTCCTGAGTCAACTGTGACCATTTATATTCTCTTGGAGAATTGTCTACCTCATGCTGACTTTCAAATTTGTTGGCTAAAAGAACAGGATTTAAGCTTTACAGTAATGTTCAATCTCTCTAATCTAAAATCAGACTGTCTTATCTCTAATGTTGTTTCTTTGTGCTTTCTTTCTCCACCTTTCTGATCTCTTTATGTGAGTTTCAAGGATTATCTGCTTTATTTTATTTGTTGAAAGAAGCCTCTACCCTGTTGTTGGTTTGTTTGTCCACATTGTCATTCCTTTCTAAACAGTCTGCTTTATTTCCTCTTTAACTCAGAATTATTTAAAGGAAATCTTAAAACTTCCAAGAGTCGGTTGTGATTCCTGTTGCAATCTTTTAGTTGTGTGTTTCTGGATGTATAGTTTCACAGCAAGAATACAGCAAGTGCATAATTTTGACTCTGGGGAGTGTGTTGAGCTTCTCTTATGGCTTACTGATGGGTCGTTCAAAACATTGTTATGGGCAGTTGCAAAGAATGTAGGCAAAATGGTACGAGCGCTCGGGAGAATGTCTGGCAATTTCTGGGAAAGTCCACATACACCGACCCTGGAAACCCTCGGTTCCACTCCCCGGTATTTGCCCAAGAGACCTGAAAACACACGTCCGCACGAAGACTTGTACAGGAATGTTTCTATCAGCCTTCTTGATAAAGCCCCAGACGGGAGACAGTTCGGATGTCCCCCAAGAGAAGGGCAGGCAAGCGAAGTGGAATGTTCCCTGAGTGGAGAACTCCTCAGCTCACAGAAGCAATGGGCCGTAGGCGCATGAGGAACGCAGATGAGTCTCCAGGACGCCACGCTTAGCCAGAGACCAGACCCGGGATTGCACAGGCGGTCGGATTCCGCGGGCCCTAGCCAAGCGGGGGCGATACCCCTCTGTGGTGACTGATCCCAGACAGGGGCTGCCACGGAGGGAAGTGGCGGTACTTGTCTGGACACGGGGCAGCAGGGGACTTTCTGGAGGGGACGGACGTTTTTCGTGCAGTGATAGGTAGTGGAGGGTGTACGCAATTGCTGGGCGTATTTCGTGTGTCACTGATGTGGATGAGATGACGGTTAAGAGGACCAGGACTCTCCGCGTGTGTCAGGAGCAGCATCCTTGGTGGTGGGACTGCATTAGTGTCTGCGTGTGTCAGGAGCAGCACACTCGGTGGTGGGACTGCATTAGTGTCTGAGGACTGTCGTGACCAAGCACCAGAGACGGGTGGCTGAAAACAACGGAAATTTGTTCTCTCCAGTCCTGGAGGCTGGAAGTCTGGGATGCCAGTGTCAGCAGAGCCTCGGTCCTTCTGAGATTCGGGGTAGAAGAAGCCTCCCTGTATCTCCCAGCATCCTGCGGTGGCCGCCCGCCCTCAGCCTTCCTGGGCTGGCAGCTTCCCTGCTCCGTCTCTCTGCAGCTGCCATCCCCTGTGCTCTGTCCCCTGCTGGTGAGCCCATCAGTCATCCTGGGTTATGAGTGACTCTACTCCGCTATGACCTCACGTTAATTTGTGTCTTGACTGCACCCACAAAGCCCCTAGTCCACACTGAGTCGTGTTCACGGGTGCCAGGGGTTAGGACATCAACCTATATTTTGTGGGGGTCATTATTTGACCCGAAACATGGGTTCAATCAGCCTTTCTGTTCCAATGCTCTGGCTCTAGTGCCTCTTTGCTTTAATGGGTTTTATGTCTTCAGAGCAGTTTGAGACGCACAGCAGGACTGAGCACACCGGACATTTAGCCGGCTGCGCCCCTCCCTCCAGCACAACTTTCCCTAGTGCTGTCCTCCTGTCTTCGTGTGGAGCACTTTTCATATTCGACACGTGAGACACTCTCGGTGCGCTCACGTTAAATGAAGTCCGTGGTTTCCATGAGGGGTCCCTCTTTGTGTTGTACATCCCATGGGTTTGGGGCCATAGAGAATGACGTGCAC